AACCCTTGACTCCTGACCACTCTCCTATCTGATCAGGGTCCACATCCTGCACTGGCACCCAGCTGATGTCTGAGTCCCAAGATCTGCCTCAATAAGATCCCTCCTCACTCTCATCCTGATGTTTCCTTTTATTAATTTTCCATCCACTCAACACCACCCCCTCTGCTCCTTGGCTATAAATTCCCACTTTCCATTATCTATTCCGAATTGAGCCCAATTTCTTTCCCCTACAGCAAACCCTCACTGCAGGGATCCCATACTTATAGAATACCCCTTAATAAAGTCAACCTTACTGTCTCTTTATTATTGCAATCCTCACCTGAGAGTATGATTTTTAAAGAGAGTTGAAAGGAGGGAGAGAGGGAGAAAGTGAGAGATACAGAGAGAGAGAGAACATTGATGTGGGAGAGACACATAGATTGGTTGTCTCTCGCATGTGTTTCTACCATGCAAGATCAAACTTGCAACTCAGGTATGTGCCCTTGACTGGGAATTCAACCCACAACTCTCCAGTGGGCAAGTCAATGCTCTAACCACTGAATAATACCATCCAGGGCTCAGCCTTTCTGTCTTAACACGTTTCATGATAATTATTTCTTTAAGAGCAGCAATAAAATATCTATGATTTTCAACTGATTTATATATCCTTATACTGCTAATGCTTGCATTTTTTCACATAGATCAGTGTTACTATTTTTTAAAATAGCTTTCTTGAGGTATAATAAACATGCCATAAAATATGCCTCTACACAATTCAGGAAGTTTTAGTACTTTTTCAGAATTGTGCAACTATCACCACAATCCAGTTTTAGAACAATTTCTGTCTCCCCTAAAAGTTCCCTGCACTCAACCTTCATTCCCACCTCCATCTCCAGCCACCCCGATCTGCTGTCTGTATAAATTAGCCTTTTCTGAAAACTTCCCCTTATCTCAGAAATGCATTTTAAGACCCCCTAGTGGATCTTATACTACAGATAGTATGGAAGCCTTCATATCCTGTTTTTTTTTTTTCTATACATACTTCTTATGACAAAGTTTAATTTATGAATTAGGCACAGTAAGAGATTAACAATAATTAATAATAAAATAGAAAAACTATAACATACTGTAATACGTTATGTGAATGTGGTCTCTCTCTTCTCATAACCAGTCTGCCCACCCAGATGAGTCCTAACTGTCTAAGGGTTGGGGAGCATCCACAGCATGGAGACACTGGACAAAGGGGTGACCATGTCTTGGGTGGGACAGTGCAGGACAGACGGCACAAGATACCATCACACTACTCAGAACTGTGGACAATTTAAAACATGTTTATTTCAAGAATTTTCCATTTAATACCTTTGGGCAACAGTTGATCATAGATGGCTGGAATGCAGAAAGTCAAACCACAGATAAAGGAGAGGACTGTAAGTGGAATTGGACATGTGGCCTTCTGTGTTTGGCTTCTCTCACTTTTGGAGGTTTATCCAGGTTGCAGTATGTATTAGTAGTTTGTTCCTCTAACTCAGGGGTGGGGAATGCCTGGCTCGAGGGATGTATGAGGCCTGTGAAATCATTTGGCCTGGCCCTGCCAAGGCATTAGGGGTGAGTGAGTTAATTAAATGTTTGACCAAATTTACCTGGCTAAATTTTTTTTGTTGTTGGTTAATCCTTACCCGAGGATATTTTTTCCATTGCTTTTTTTAGAGAGAGTGGAAAGGAGGGAGAGATACAGAGAAACATTGATGTGAGAGAGATACATCTATCGGTTGTCTCTCACATGTGCCTTGACAGGGGCAGGGATCAAGCCCACCACTGAGATACATGCCTTTGACCAGAACGGAACCCAGGACCCATCAGCCGCTTTAATCACTGAACCAAACCAGCCAGGGTTAGCAGGCTAATTTTTAAGTTGAAAATTTTGTATGAATCTCAAATGATATTATATTAGTAAATATCCAAATGGCCCTTGGCAGAAAAAAGATTCCCCACCCCTGTTAACTGTTGGGAAATTTGTTTTAAAGTTTACTACATTTTGTTTATCCATTTGTCAGTTGATGGGTAAGTGGCTGTTTACAGGTTTGGGTTATTATGAATAAGGTGCTGTGAACATTCATACACAAAACTCTATATAGACACAAGGGTTACTTTTATAATCAGAAATAAAGAAAAGCAACAAAAGTAAAAGGCCAAATGGATTTTCTGAAATGCATCTTTTACCAGAATAGGAGCTCTGTGAGTGGGATGAAGTGTTGAAATAAGGAGAGAAAGGAGTGATCTCCTGAGCCGGCCGGCTTTCCCTGGCCCCGGCCTGGCCACTGCCTACCAGGAACAAGTAGGTACAACAGCTCCACTCCTCTGGAAACTGTTCATATTCATATCCTTCCAAGCCTCAGAACACACACAATGTCTCGTTTGTCCCACTGCAGCTCTGCTATCAATCCCAACCCAAACATCAGTGCCCCTCTGCAAAGCCCTTTAGCTCAAAAGCTTCAAATCATGGAATCATCAATCGCCTGACTGTGTTTAATAAAAGCTCATCAGGGAGGTTTGCTTTCCGAGAGGCTCTGGAGAATGGTGCAGTATACTTGGCCGAGTTGTTCAGATTTAGCAATACTAGTTTTTAGTCTGGGTCCTTTCTCAATATGCAAAGGTCAAGTCACAGCTATGAATGGAAAGGGACCAGAAAAACCACACAAGGGAGGATCTACTTCTGTAAGCAGGAAAGAGATGTGGGGACAATGTAGAGGCAAAGGGGCAGGAGGTGAACTGGCAATGCAAAATGGGAAGCCCTACTTCTAGAGAATAGGCGGGAAGCAGATGGATAGACAGCACTGAGGGACAATGTTTAATATAAATCGACATACACGATTTGAAAGCACTTGGTGGTAATGATTATTGCTGATGACACTTATCTATAGCTATGGCAGACTCTCCAATGGAAGCTCTTATAGCAACCTGAGTCACTTTCCATGCATACACGGATCCAGGTGACCTCTTTGAACTGACATAGTAGCCCTGCCTCCCTTTCTTTTTTTAAGTCATCACCTGAGGATATGCTTGATTTGAGAGAGAGAGAGAGAGAGAGAGAGAGAGAGAGAGAGAGAGAGAACATCGATCAACTGGTTGCTTCTCACATGTGTTCTGACTGGGGATCAAACCCACAACCTAGGTATGCACCCTGACCAGAAATCGAGCCTGCAATGTTTTTGGTATATGGGACGATTCTCCAATTAAGTGAGACACCAGGCCGGGGCCCTGCCTTCCTTCTGCACATTCTAGTGGTCACCCTACTGGCTCTTTGAGTCCTCCGTTTCCCATTGTTTACTATCCATGGAGCCTATACTCTGAGCTCCTTTTTCTCCTACAGTTATTTCTTTGGAAGAGTCCACTCATTTGGGTTTAATTTATAATTTCTAAGTGTGTGACTCCATTCTTTAATTTTCAATTTCCCTATGCCAGCAACAGTAACAATAGTAATGCCAGCAGGTACCTAGGATTTGACAATATTTAAGGAGCTTCCATTTGATCCTCACCAAGCATCAATCCTATAATGTGATCAGGAAAGCTGGTATTGACTCCTTTGTTTGTTTGTTTGTTTATTTATTTATTTATTTATTTATTTATTAAAAAGGAAATGTAGGTAGAATACATCAGTAATTGCTCAGTATCACATAGTCTTAAGGTGGTGGGACCATTAGGGATTACAGTCCCATGGTGAGAGCATACAGGTAAACGACCATATTTAAGGCAAATGCCATCCAATATGTTGAAGTTAAACCAAAGTGGAGGCAATAGCAACTTACAGTAGGTCTATAGAATTTTTTCAAACTATGGACCTAGGATTTTAACAACATATGAGCCTGTGAAGAGTTTTCTGGCTCATTTTTAATTTTTCTAAATGTCTTATATATTCAATATTTAAAAAGGCACAGAGATCCTGAATTTGAGATGCAGATATAGTTGTAGGTAAAGAGCTTCTGTTAAAGGATGATTTACAAAAATATGCCATTAACATAGTACTTGTAATTAATCTTATAGGTGGAATATCTGTCTATTTAGTCTTATGACCTTGTATAAAATCTTGCCCTAAACGCAATTAAAAGAACAAATACTGTTTAATGGTGGGATATCGTTAACATTCGCAAAAAACATATTTTTCAGAAAGGAACATGCTTAGAATTCAGTGTGAACCAATCAGTTAATTGCTGTGTTTATTCTGAAGCTTTCATTTTGGAGTCCTAGATTGCAAAATGACATGTTTAATGTTAACAATAGGCATTAGAAATTGAGGTGTTTTTTTTTTATTTCTACTATTTTAGAGTAAAATTGTAGATCATGTTCCAAACCATCATCAAAAAATGCAGGGCAAACTTGTATGTATATAAACTGTACATAAAAACAAGGCACTATACATGTTGGGGAGATATTAAGGTAGAAGGTGAACTTGCACAGATTCCATGCCAGGATGTGCACATTTCTGTCTGTTTTAGCACCGGAAGCAGCACTCAGAAGAAGTAAGACCTAATGTAATGCCGAAGAAGACGTTTCTGAACACGGTGAAGATACGTATCGGCAGAAGAAGCTCCATCTACTTTGACACCTCCCAAAAAATCTTAAAAGTGAATGAATACATACTGCTTTGTTAAATACATATTTGATTTATATGGTGTTTATATAAATATATATATTTTAGAATCCATAAACTATCAAAATAACACTTTATAAAGAGAACTGCTTAAAAAATATCAGCAACACTGAGCTGGAGCGGGGCTGAGGAGTGCCGCTGAGCTGCACCGCGGGTTTTATTAATGTTACCTGTTGAATCGCGGAGAGAGTTCGAAGAGTTCTCTTAAACATTTACAAAATACACAGCTACAGGACAAGCGGTAGAGCTAATAACTTCAGGTTTTGAAATCTCTGATTAAAAAGTATGTTTTAAAACACAGGAACTAAAAATATCCACTTTCCTGGTCCAATGGTATTGAAAGTGACGACAGGTTCCACCGGCATCTCTCCGCTCAGAACAGACCTTTGGCTTTCTTCAGGTTCACCTGCTTCCAGGCGGGCAGTGCATTGAATTCCTCTCTTGTCATGTCTAGTGCAAACTGGAAGAATCGAGAGAAATGCCCATGTGTTGAGGAAGAGGCCTCCCGTACCAGCCCACCAAGTGGCTTCCTGCTGGTCTATCTGAAGGAACACTCACCTCAAAGTCCTCATCAGTGAGATAAATCTCCAGCTTTAGAGGGTCAACCGCCTCAGGCAGAGGCCTGGCCAGGAGATCAGCCAGAGGATAAATGGTTTTACAGAGCTTGGCTAACACGTCTTCCACAAGGGTGATCTGATTGGAAACTTCCGTATCCTAGAGAAGAGAACAGGGCAGAGAAACTCTGTGTTCCATATCTCAACACGCTCTATCATGTGCCTGCAGACACACAAGCCTGTCCGATCTGCATGCCAGCCTGAAGACCCTCCCTCATGGGGAAACTAGGCTCTAAAGTGGAAAGGAATTGCTCAAAGCCCCCAGTTCTCTCAAAGGTCCAACAAATCCTGTCTCAGGGCTGCCTCAGAGAAAAGCTTAGGGGATATCATTTGAGTGAATCATCACATAAGATTATTAAATTTGAAGTCTAACCACCAGAAGCACCCAAAAAATGATGCCTACCGAACAATATTTAAAAATAATTAGCCTTAAAAGGAATCACCCTTTCCCTTTCCCCCTACCCAACCCAGGCTCTGTTTTTTAATTCACAATAGAGAAAGAAGGGAAGGAAATGCATCTAGAATACACTGCGGTTGAATCAGAATTTTTTAAAAATAATATATTTATTTAAAATATATTTTTACTGATTTCAGAGAAGGGACAGGGAGGGAGAAACATCAATGATGAGAAAGAATCACTAGTTGGCTGCCTTCTGCATCCCCCCTACTGGGGATTGAGCCCACAGCCCAGCATGTGCCCTTGACTAGAATCAAACCCAGAACTCTTCAGTCTGTAGGCTGATGCTCTATCCACTGAACCAAACCAGCAGTTTTTTTAAAAAAATTTTAAAACCACTGACCAGCAGTGCAGCAATAGTGGTCAGGAGGCAGGTTTCAGAGCCAGCCTGAGCCTAAGACCTGGGGCAAACTGCTTCCTGTTTCTGTGCCTCAGTTCCTTTATCGGTAAAATGGGGATAATAATATGATTAATCTCAATAGACTGTTGTGGAAATTAAAGTAGAAACCAATGTAAAGTAATTGGAGCAATTCCTGGCACAGACCAAGCTCTCAGTGAATGTTCATTATTATTGCAACTTGTTGACGTGGGAAGCCAATTGCTCATTGTCTGAAAGCCTGCAGCCTGCACAAGACACTGCACAGTCCCCCACCAGCCCCGGTGACGGAGCATGAATACAAAGAATGGCCATGATTTATGGTCTTGAACTTAGACTGCAGCAACAGTGCCTCTATTTCCTAGAACTTTAAAACGTGGTGGATCGCATAGTTCTCATAAACAGAGCCTCCGCCCTGACTGTGTTGGACAGCAGGCTGCGTGAGCCCTCCTTGTGTCAATGAAGTCCGTTTGGCCACAGACAGGGTAGCACTGGCAGCGATGCCTACACTATGAAAGGCTTCCTCCATTATTAAGCAGCAATGAACTTTTCTTGTTTAAATTTATTCAGACCCTCTATAAAATGCACTCATGCCATCTCCGCCCTTCTCGGAAAAACAGCTCTCCTACACAGAAAGAAAAAGAAAACAGACCTACCAACCCATTACCCATCCACCCAAAACACTATTGGAACTGCTGTTGCTAGCAATGTTAAAAACCTCAGAAATTAAGACATTCTATATAGTTGCAGGAAGCTTTCTTTTTTTTCTGTGCAGATGGAAATTATAACATTCTGGTTTACAATATTTTTTGGCAATAGAGATTCTGATAAATGCCTCATGTGCTGTCAGGTGGTCTCATAAAAGAATATTGGATAGTGAGCAGTGCCTTATAAGGAGTGACTCATAATACATTCATTCACTTAGTTATCTGCATATATTAGTGCATCTCAGAGTTATTCTGTATCTCCTTTAATACAAGGTCAACGTCTGAAACACGAGCTTTGTTGTGCTTCATGAGGCCCTTTAGACTTTTAGCTAACAGAGTGAAGAGATGTCAGCTTTTATTTGTGGATATTTTCAAAGTAATTAAACTCACCTTTTTAGTTTTTTAACTTGAGTATTATATGTAAAAAATTACCAAAATACTTCAATTGGTTTCTCCTTGGGCTTTTCTTCTTCCTAAGCTAATTCTACACAGACGGTTAACATGTAAATGAAAAGACATGTTCCCACTTTGAAAATGCAATGGGATGCTTCTTCCCAGGGAAAGTCTACCCACAGTCCACCAGGCAGGGACCCACCCTCCCAGGTAAGGGGTGTGCTCACCATTTCTGTGATCTCAGCAATGTCCTCTCTGTGCTCCCAACTGGGAAACATGTTAGTGAATGTCAGGGGCTCCAGACCCGCGTGGATCAGATAGGACTTGGGCGGTGGCTTCTTGATATTTTTTCCTGTGGTTACACAGAATGCCAGTGTCAGTTGACCCCAAGTGGGCACGGAGACCCAGTCTCTCTCTGACTTCCCTTGAAACCTTTTCTTGCTTGTATGGATCTCTTGACTTCATACTTGAAATCAAAGTTATGAGTATTTCATAACAACACTTGGATGATGTTTATATAACGTTCGTTTTATGCACACGACTGTATAAAACGGCATGTACCCCATCTGACTACAGTGTCTGAACATGACAAAATGTGTCTATGTCCTTGGATGGGAGAAAGCCTCTCTCTGTGCTTCTGAGTGGGGCTGTTTCTTTTTGCTGCATTCAGCGTAGTCCTAATGCAGTGTCAAGTTCAATGAGGATTAAACAGTCAATGACAGCATTTTATATGCCACTTTAGCTTAAACATTTGGTGGGAAGTTTAATAAGTTATTGGTTACTAGAGAGCTTTTCAAGAACAGAATCCACTGAATACTTAGTGACACTAAACTAATCAATAAAACCTTTAAAATCCAGAAGACACTAATTATTGAAATCCTCAGTTTATATAAAAGACCATAAATCTTAGATGGACAGTATAATAAAAAACCAGAAGTTGACTATAGAACTTTCTTTTTAGCTATCACGCTAAAAGTAATAATGAATGGTAACACGGTTGCCGTGAGCTTTCCAGCCTGTGAGGGAGCTTTCTACTCCATCACAGTGTGACGTGTGACGTGCATGTGGAGTGTCCGGTGGAGGCCAGTGTGATCCTGAGTGCAGAAGGGTTCTAACCAGTCCAGGGCATTCCACAATGTAGATGACCTTGATCAACACAGAGGATTGAAGGTATAAACACTCCATGTGGATAAAAAAAATCCACATGTAACTTCTGACTCCCCCAAAACTTAGTTGCCCCTTAATATCCATAGAGTATTGGTTCCAGGACGCCCCACAAATCTCATAATCCACGATGCTTCAGGCCCCTATTTTAAATGAAATGATGTAGAACAATGCCTGTAGTTGGCCCTCCCCATCCTCAGATTTTGAACTGTGGACCGAAAATACTTTTTGTTCAGCAGTTAGTTGAATTCCTGGAAATGAAACCTGTGGATATGAAAGACCAACTGAATAATTATGGAAAAAAAATCTGGGTGTAACTGGACCTCGCAGCTCAAACCTTGTTGTTCAAGGGTCAACTGTGCAGCCTCTACCCTCCAGGGCAACAAGTTAAATGGCTTCACAATATAAAAAATAAAAATGAAATCTCATTCATGCTGGCAGTTGAGAATACATGAATCTGAAAATTAATAAGCCTCCAAAGTTAAAGAGAAAGAAAATTGGCTTTATCACTGTCTGTCAGGCTTCATCAAGGCTGGCATACATAGAAAGGGAAGGCCTGGTCTGTGATACCGACCAAGTCTTCAGACAACCAGCTGGGCACTAGCTTCTGAATAATGCTGGTCACCATCCCCCAGGGGTACCTGGCTGGCCCCGGCCCAGCCCCCTCCTGCAGACGCCTCACCTCTGCAGTACTGGAGCACAGTCTCCATGGCGCTCTTGCGATCGGAGGCCCAGCGAATGCGGGCGGAACCGGTGATCTTGTTCTCGATGGGCCACCAGCCTTGCCAGAGGTACACCTCATGGTGATTGTCCACAAGGAAAAGCGCTGTGAGGGCAAGGACAGACCAGACCCTCAGAAGCCCTTCCAGGCCAGGCCTCCTCAGCTTAGTGGTGCTTCCCTCCAGGCTGCCTCTGCAGGGGGAGATCCCCTCAGCAGTTACTTCCATGGGGAAGGGAAGAAGGGCCTCTCGGCAGAGGTGGCACTGATGGTACAGGCCGCTTTCCTTCCCTCTCCTCCTCTCTCCTCCCGTTCCTTCTCTCTTGGTTCCTCAACCACAGACCTGCCCACGGGCCTCTGGGAGTCCAGAGCCTGCTAAGAGGGGAAGGGATAATGCAGGTGCCACTAAAGGGGTGTTAGTACCATTTATCTCTTGAGAACATGAACACCTGGAGAGTACTTCATGCTTGCCCTGGGCCTGAGTTCAAGTCTGTGTATGACTGCTTTGCAGGTGATGTATATTCATGGTTCTTTTAGAGAGGAATGAGCTCTAAAAATGGCGTTCCTCACTTTTTCTCTTCATCAAACCATCAGCCTGCTCTTACTCCACACGGCATAGGGCCCTCACTTGCTAGCTCAGCTTGCTCTGAGAGTGAGCACATGTTTCAGGATTCATACACTTGAAAAGCCAAGTGGAGGTTAGTAACCCTTCCTGAGCCAGAGGATGAAGAGGGTGGCGATCGGCCTCCCCTTTTTAAAAGACCCTTGCTGATGTATCCCTCAGTATGACTGTACACCATCAAGCTTTTATCATGGTGACCTGGGCTGCCAGTGGTTCCAGGCTCTTGTTATGGGAAAGGGGAGAAGCCATGAGCCCGGGGAGGCCGACCTTGGGCTGGACTCAGGGAGGGCAGAGAGGTCTATAACACAGCGCGGTCTGCGGTGGCTGTGACTGTCCCAACCAGAATGAGAGCACAGAGGTCCTGTCTTGAGGGGGTGGTCTAGTAGAAACAGACCTGAGCTTGGGCGAGAGCCGTGGCTCTGCTGTGCAGCCTTGGTATGGTGGACACTGTTCTTTGCCCAATTCAGCAGCTACTCCTAACTTCCTGCCCCCTGGCCACTTGCTTTACCAGGCTACTTGCATCTGGGGTAGCTATGTGACAGAGCTCTAGCCCAAGGGATGTGGGCAGAAGTCTGCTGGGGGCTTCAGGGATAAAAGGGAGAGATGTGGCCACAGGGCCCAATACTGCTGTACTCACCTTTTCCAACAGATGTATTTGGGCGAGTTAAGTAACCGAGTTTCTTATACTATGTGGTGGATGCCAGTTTTTTTGGGGGGGGGTAGGTGTGAAGATTAAATGAGATGATATAAAAAAAATGTTCTAGCAGAGTACTTGGCAAATAAATTGCCTAATAAGTGGAAAGGGGTGATACTTTTTGGAAGGTGTAACTTCTGCTGCTCCCACGACCATTGCCTCTGGGGGCCATACCTGGCTGCGGTGCACTATACAGATCTTCCTGCAGGAAGGGCATGGAATTGACCACAGAGGGGGCTCGGGCAGGATACATGAATTCCGTGGCTAAGAAATCCCCAGAGGAACTGCTGAGGATGAACAGGCGGGGTGTGAAGTTGAAATTTCCAGGATCTTGGAAAGAAAAGAGAACAAAGCTGAAGACAAAATAAGTACTAAAGTAAATTTCAGAGGGATTAGAGAATTAATGTAAAACACAAAATAATAAGGGAATTAGTATAAAAATAGGCAGAGTTTATCTGCACTTGGAGGTCGAGAAGCCTTTTTAATTATAATTGCAAAAGAAGCAATCAATGGAGAAGAGATTTATGCACTGACAACATAAAAATAAATATTGCATTGCAAAAAAACCTACAAAGAAAATGAAAAGGCAAGTAAAAAAATGCTGGGTGTGATTTTTCCTGGTAGAAGTAATGTTAAGTATTTATACTCAACCTCCTTCACCTGTATCTCTTTCACGATAACAGATTTTTTACTTGGCATTATAATTAGTTATACAAATTATTTAGCCTTGTTGGGTTGTAGGCCCATGAGGCCCATTAAACCTAGCCTAGGTTTAATTCCGTGTGCACTGTACATAGCTCAATAAATATGTATTGCATAAATCACTGACCAGAGGCTACAGAAGGTGGTGTTACCTTGAAGCATGCAGTCGTAGGCTTTCCGATCTCTCCTTCCTAACGCGTCCCAGAATCCCAGAGGCTCGGAGCCTTCCTCACACTCGTGTATGGTCACTTTGCTGCTACTATGCAGCCCGGCTTCCAGGGGGCATCTGTATGAAGACCAATCATTTTTATTAAGCTTTGGAAGTACTGACAGCACGGAATTATTCAAGATTAAATCTACAGATGAGTTCGCCATCTCTCTTCTGCTTTCCAACTAAGTCAGTTCTTACAAACGAATAAAAACATGCTCTGTGGGGTATGGGTTGGTGTGGCCCTTAGAGAGGAATGTACAATTACATGTAGTTTGTAATGAATAGAATATTTATTTCTATGTGTAATATATGTATTTGCTATTCCTGGTTTCCTGTGGGAACATTGCTTCATGGGGACAGAACTTGGATCTATTCACCGGCAAGCCCTAGTCCCTAAACCTCTGCTTGGCACCAAGTAGGTGCTCAAGAACTGCTGCTGAATGAATGAGGGAATGAGTTCTTTATTCTTTTGTTGTTGTTCTTTCCATGTAAAGACTCTGATGGGCCAAGAATGCCTCTGAATACCTAACAGGATGTCATTTATAATCCCTCCCTACTCCCTGGCCTGCAGGGTAATGTTTCGAGATGAAACATCTTGCTTCACAGCCACCTGCCTGTTGAAAGTTCACTTGCCCTCCTGTCCCTCTCCGTGTGGCGGTGGGTTTAGAGCAGTAACAGAGAACGCAGGCCCATAAGTTTTGATGCCCAGAGAATGGATTTTACCTTGTGGCCTTGGGAAACTCCTCATTTTACTGTACAGACGTGACACGGTCCTCCAAGTTCTCCCTAAGGAAATGCTGGGCATCTCCTGAGTGACTGGGGGCACTGGAGTTTCTTTATCGGGTTGCAGTGTCCATGCTGCATGAGCTGCTAGGAAGTGCTGAGGCCCCAGCAGCAGCCTGCCTCCAGACAGGTGACCGGCCAGTACAGCCCCCTCCTCAGGGCCTCACTTAATGCTATGGCACCGTATGTTTTCTCTGTGTAAGTGGTCAATGCCGGTACCTGCCTGAGAAAGGAATAAAACCCTACACCTGGTGGGATGTCTCAGGGATCCCATAACTCTTTTAGGAGGCTGCTTTCCAGAATGCAGAAGCACAGTTGTTCTTTACAGAGGCACATCTTAAACTCATTAGCTAAGTGCTTTTTAATATTCCACTCTTCTGACAAAATTAAACCCTGAACTTCTTAAAAGATATCCAAAATTTGCTCTGTTTAAGTAACATATGACTTTTAGGCTTATAATTCAACAGCTGAGTCACACCTATAAAGAAATTAAAGTGCTTGCTGAGGTCTTTTTCATCACCCCTCAGGCTGCCTTTTATTGAGGCAGATACAACCCTCAAAAAGTGGGAGGAGCCCTCAGTTGAAAGTTTTGGCTGAGATGCAGCAGAGCCACTTGGAATGTTAGACCCTGACAATGGTCATAACTGTCTTTAGTGAGGTCACTGTAAACACACGGGGATGTCCACTAGGAATCCAGGGAACCTTTCTGGCCTCAGGCGGTGAGTCCCATTGGTAACCCCCCTTCCAGAAGAGGCCCTCATACCCACAATACTCACTGTTCTTTGATTTTGTTTGCTGCAGTCCTTCCAACATCCTTCGTGTGGGCTTGGGCTTTGCATCCATGCCACAGGTAAATGAGGGCTTTAGTGACGTTGAGAACAACCATGGATGTCCTGGACCTCAAGCTACTACAGTGACAGGCCACTTCCAGCAAATTTCCTTCCATGGGCACTTCTCCTCGCACACAGTACAGCCTCCACTCACCTGTAGGGGGCACCAGCGGCACAGGGTTAGGAGGTATGCTGCACAAGGAGCCTGGCCTTTGGGTGCCCTCTTTCCCAGTCAAGAGCAAATTCCATTCTATGACTTAAGGGAAGGTGCAGACTGAGGCCATGGGCCATCTGACTGCCAACCCAGAACACACTTCCTTTTGGAGTTAGGAATAGGTTGTCAAAAGTTTACGATGCAGAGATATCATTTTTACAAAATTTATAAATGCCTAAGTAAGAATAGGCATATATAAAAAAACCTCTTAAGCTAAGAATTTATTTTATGTTGTATTGGTTTTTTTTGGATGGTGGCCAATAAAAATTTTGTAATTTATAATAGACATCCACTGATTGTTTTATTTATTTATTTATTTATTTATTTTTTTAAGAGAGAGTCACTGTGAGGATTCTGTATAAGGTGAAGTAATTTTGCAGCCTCTTGCACACAATGCTGGATGCAGGGTCCACCCATGGGGTTGGGAGAATGAGAGCCCGTAAAGATGCTTTATGAGGCAGACATCAGGTGGCTTTTGGTGGTAAAGCATGGCCATATGAGGAGAGACTTACTCTAAACCCCCACGCCTATAAAAACACCTTCCAGGAGAGGGGAAAAAATCCAAGTCGAACAGTAAAAGCAACTCACTTTGTGCATTTTCTTCCTCCTCTTCCCTTCTTCCGGAGTGCACCACCATCCCCCCTTGGAAACACTGCAGGAAGCAGGGGGGCTCCTTTCCCTGAAGAACCTGGACCTTCCAAGTTAAACACATTAAAATAAGTAACCTGCACTGGCTTTCCAAAGGCATATTAATTATATACCCTATTGTAGAAAACGTGAAAAAATACAAGACACAGGAACAAAAGCCAGTAACAATACTATTATTTAAAGATAACCACTATTAAAAATCTAGTGTATAACTTTACTTTCAAAGTATTTTTCAGGTATTTGTTGTTGTTTTTTCCAAACAAAAATATGATTATTGTTTCATGTTGCTTTCTACCCTGATTTTTTCCCATTTAAAGTTTGTCTGTTATTGAATATTTTTTAAAACATGAATTTTGATATATAAATGGTATTTTGTGATATAAATGTAACATGATTAATTTAAACACATTTTTACACAGTACACCTCTGAGCAATGAGGATGACTAATCACCAACTGAGTAATCCTGGGGGAAAGGACTGTCTTTTTTGTAACATTTGCGAGAATCTGATCAGGGCCTTTGTTCACCAACCACGGCCTCCCTGGCCTGGTGACGCACTGTCTCCCGCCAGGTGTTAGCTGCCCCATAATAACGTCAGGGTTGAGTCAACTCACGCTTACTTTGGCAAGACATTTTCCCTTAAAGAGGGAAGTGTTTATTGAGGCTGGCAGTCAGGAACACTGAAGGTAGGAAGCATTTCTTACCATGAGTTAATTTGTCAACCTCAGGGCCCATTTTGCATAATTAAATGCCATTTTGTGGTAGTGTTTTATATGCCTAAAGTGATTTTCCATCTGTTGGATTGATAAAAAAAAATGACATGTTTCAACCGGATAGATTAAAACTCTAAAGATGACTTTGAGGGCATTCATTCATGGCCTTTCCAAAAAAAAAAAAAAAAAAAAGAGGCAGTTGAAATTACTACAAATAGATGAAAATAGATGAAAAATTTCATCATTATTACAAATAGATGAAAAAGCAACGGTCACTAACGACTATGGGTAAAATATAGACCACAGCAGAAGAGGATTGGATCTCAGGAATCTAGAAGGCTGAGTGAGTAGTGCTCTGCTTTTGGAGAAAATGCCTCCCCGTTCTCCCTCCCCCTGCTATTGTTCACTGTTCACCCAAGATAGTAAAAATATGTGCACCCAGAGCCAGCTCTTAATTACTGGTATTGAAGGACGGAACCTAAGGCACAGGTAATCCAAACCCTAGAAAGAATGTTTATATAACCTTGGCTTTCAGTAGCAGTAGTATCTGCCCCTTGTTAAGCTGGCTCTGGGCTATAACGGGGAGGAAGACCAGGACAGATATGGTCTCTTTCAAGCTTGTGGGAAAAGGCAGATAAGTCAATAAAACAAACATGTGGTTTTACATAGCAGTAAGTGCTATGAAAAAAAAATTGCACATTGGAACATAAACCTGAATCATCCGAGCTAAGAGCATAATCTGAATCGTAAGGGAAGAGTTACATACAGATCCAGGGGTCAGAGTGCACAGGCCCTAGGTGGGCAGGAAGAGGCTTTGAGGAGCAGCAAGAAGACCAGAGAGTCAGGACTTGTGCAAGAACAGGAACGATTGGAGAGATGTGCAGGGCTGCCCGTGAGGGTGCTGGGAGACCACAGGCAGGCTGCTGGGAAAGTAGCCATGGGTGGTGAAGAGCCTGGGGTGATGCTATCTGGCCTGGAAAAACGACTTGAGCTAGTCTAAGGAATGCAGATGTTGGAAACATTAGTTTTTACATTAATCTCTGCTATCTCCTTAGGGTGCATTTGTGTAAGTGGAATAACTGATTAAAGCTTATGAACATTTAAGGTTCTTGAGCCAAAGCTGTTTTCAGGATGGCTGCTTCCAGTTACACTTCCAGCAGAAGCATGCGAGGTCCTCACCCACAGAGCTCTTGCCAACGCTGATCCAGACTTAAAAAAAATATATCTACCAAGTTTAGAAATGGAAAATAGCATCTTTTTATTTTATTATGTCCTTTTCCTTGATGACTAGTTAGGAGGAAACTTAAAACACACACACACACTTATTAACCTTTTGTCATTTTCTGGATTTGCTGCTATGTCAAACTATAGAGTTGTTTTGTTGACTTACTTATTTTTTGTCTTTCCCCACAAACTTGAAAGAGACCTTATCTGTCCAGGTCTTCTTCACCATTAAAACCCAGAGCCAGCTTAACAACAGACAGTTACTACTACTGAAAACCAAGGCTTTGTAAACATCTAACATCTGCTATTTGCAGATACATTTTGTTGAAGACCATGTTACAACAGATGGGCCCTCCTGGCCCAGTGGTCGGGGAGAAAAATGAGGTGCAGCCCTAAGTCTGGAGAAGCCAGTCCAGGACTAAAAGTGTGTTGGGTGAGTTGTCTTTGTTCATTAGAATCCGGTCATTAGGGGACCAGGCGACACATGCTGGGCCAACTCTCTCATGTCTGGTGAAGCACTCCCCAGGACGTACCTGGGCTCCCCTTTCTTCATCCAGCTCCACTGTCATCAGAGCTGACGTGCCCTTCTCACTCACGGTGGACTGCCGGCCTTGCCAGAAGAAGTAGACACACTTCTCTTTGCCAGCCACCCTTACGGAGTGCTCTGCCTTCTGCCGGCTCCCCACTGCAAACACAGAACAGCAGAGGGTGGGGTGAGCAGCTGATAAGACAAAAGAAGGGCAAGTGCAAGGCTATCTGAGGAAAAGCAGGAGAGAAATAGCTTTTGGGCACCAAAGCTGAGGAGAAATCATTCATCACTGGAGGGAAAGTAAATCATACTGCTGGACAAGAGAAAAACCACCTCTTCCAGCTAACAGGTCCTGCAACTCCAGCAGGGAAGTGATCTTGATGCCCTAAGACAGCACCTGCCATCCAGAGGAAGGTGGCACACATTCCCAGGTGATAAGAGGAAGTGGTGATGCCACAGCAGGACCTACAGCTCCCAAAGATGCAGGCACGATTTCCTAATTATACCACTCTTTGGCAAAAGATTTGCTGGTAGAGCCGAAACCGATTTGGCTCAGTGGATAGAGCATTGGTTTGCGGACTGAAAGGTCCTAGGTTTGATTCCAGTCAAGGGCATGTACATTGGTTGCGGGCACATCCCCGATGCAGGAGGCAGCTGGTCGATGATTCTCTCTCATCGATGTTTCTAGCTATCTATCCCTCTCCCTTGCTCTCTGGGAAAAATAAATAAAATATATTAAAAAAAAAAAAAAAGAAAAAGAATTCAGCACCAGGTTCTCCATAGCAAAAGAACAAAACTCTTAAAAAAAAAAAATGATTTGTTGGTAGAGATATTGAAAACAACAGCTGGGCCAGCTTTAAGCACAAAGGAAAATATTTAGTCTGTTAAAACTATTCTAGTAGAAAAAAACACACTTTGATGTCTCAAAGTTCTGTTAGAAATAGAAGAGATAAATTGCTGACATATCACTTACATCAAACAATCTGGGATTTAAAAATCTGTCACTGGGGCTGTAGCCAGGATTACTAGTAAGTGCTGGTTATCCTTACTGTCTGGCTCCTCGCAGGCATTCGCCTACTTATTAGCAGCCCACAGAAGGCAGATCTCACTGAAGAACAATCACAGAAAATTAATTGGTCAAGTGGTGGTTTTGGACAGTATTTCAGACCTCAAAACCACTACCTTTAGGAATAGACCCCACTTTAGACATTTGCTCAGAAAATATTATTGAGTAACTACTAGGTGCCAGGGAACTCTTTAGGATTTTGGGGCTACAAAGATGAGCAGGATAGACAACTTCTTTGCTTTTGTTCTAATAAACAAATAGATGAGCAAGATACTCTGAGACAGTGGTAGCGACGAGGAAAACAGGCAGGGCCAGGGTGAATGCTCGTGGGACTGCCTGTGGAAGGAAGGCCTTTCAGCAGAGGTGGGTGAGTGGAGGCCTGAATGAGGATGACCTAGAAGGCAGAGTCTTTTAGGCTGAGTAAGGTCAGGACACCAAGCTCTTTACTAAAATGCCCAGTGGCCTACTAAGTGGCCTCAGGATGCCAGTGGTTTTAACACCCGTTAAAAATTAATGATGGTAACTGTACTCTTTGCTCTATATTACCTTGATTTTTCTCAGCTCCAATCCCATTTAACTAAATCACATGTGTCCTGAGGTTTGAAGATAAGAAAAAAACTTATTTAAGACCGTAAGAGGTCAGAAGCCATATTTATTTTGTTTGTTTTTTGGCCCATTAGCAAAGTACTCTATAACAGTTCGTAAAGGATTATAATTCTTAATGTATTTTGACTAAGCACTATCTTCAGTGCCAACTACTGTATACCTCAACTGGTCAAGCCTGTGTATTTTTAGTGGGAAAGTGAAATAGCAACGATCAATGAACAGTTTATAAGTGTCCACAATTAAGTTGGAAGGCATCTGATTGAAATTTATGACGACTTGGATAAGAATAAAGGTTTACCTTTGATTAGCAACTTTCAACATAGTGAAATTTAGTTGTGTTAACCTGATTATAGGGAAAAGATATGCTTACAATAGGTCATAGCAATTGATACCTATCTTGGGATTTGTTAGCACGAAGTACATTGTGTAAATATATAGTAGTCATGCTCAATAACCATTGCTTGCACCCTAACCTTCTAAAATGGACTTGAGTGTCTGTGTCTAAAATGGAATTGTATTTTTTAAAACAGTTTTTCCACTAATTTTTCTTAAAACTTTCTTCAACATATCCAAATGTAATCCTATATACAACTTAATTTTTAACTCATTTATTTATTTTTAATTTTAGCAAAAGAAATATTGAGCTTTTATTAGTAAGAACTTCTGAACTAGAATCATTACAGCCATCAGATGCCTAATTTAAAGTGTTAATGTCATCAAAATACTTTCCAGAGTAAGTTCATTAGCAGCAGTTGTATTTATGAGAAATAGAAAACTGTGGTATGAACTCTCATGGTCAAGGGTCTAGAGCAGAATCCCCTTACTGATTGCTACTTACAGGAACCTGCCTGTATCATGCTCCTCGTGGCCTGACCCAACATCACTGGGTACCCCAAGCAGCTTGTTTCCTGACCTTCGGGGGCAAGAACCATGCCCTGCAGCTCCTGAGGAGGTCACCAGGGCAGGGCACTGACCCACCGAGGCTTCGAGGCTCCCTTCTGTCGACCCCAAGGAGCTGAACTCTGCGTGCCTGTGCTGGGTGGCCATTGTCCAGTAAGAAGGTGACTGTACTGCTGCTTTCTGCTGAGCATGTCCTAGAGCATCCTGAGCTCCGAGTTCAGTCCTGTTTGCAGGTGCAGCCCTTGTGGGACATGATTGATGAGGAGCTGGACTAGCAGTCAGCAAAGGGCCCGTGCTTCCAGGAGGACCACATGTGACTGCAAATGCCACTGGTCTATGCTTTTTTGCTTTTAAAGGGACGGTCTGGAATCTGAATGCTCCCTGCTCTAACTTAAATTCTCTGAAGCTGGACTTCTTCAAAACTATAACTTTGCTCATAAAGATACTGCTGGATCTAGCTGTGAGAGGAACACATTGTCCATTTGGAAGGAATACAGAAAGTATTTGCCTGGCTGGAATCATTATTTCTTAGGGGCCTCCACATAAATAGTCTATGAAGACCTCAAATCTTACATTTATTTTCATCTCATTTCATTCATTCATTCATTCATTCATTCACTTGCTATTACTTTTTTTTTTATAGCCAACAGCTCAAGTAAGGAAATGACTCAATTTTACACTGTAGAGCCCCCTGGTCTCCTTTAATAAAATTAGTGAATGGTCCCTCTTGTGTTTAAGAACAAGAACTACGTATGTCTTCAAAGGTTACTCCTTAAAGTTCCCTGATCCATACCCAGAGCTGAGTAGATTCCCTCTTATTGTCTTTATGGCCAGCCAGCAGCACAGGTTATTACTTCAGTTTGCCAATTCTGCATAGTGACTCATGGGAGTTGCTATTGTTTTGGGTAAATCAACATTATCTCATCTTCACATTTAAGGCAGTAATTATGCCGTTGCTGTTGAGAATGTCAAGGATGATTATTTCCTGCAGGGCACATTCTAAACATTATACATACCAGACTATAATATTGTATGAGTTGAGTGTTATAATCTCTATTTTCCAGGTGAGAAAACTAAGGCTCAGAGAGGTGAAATAACTTTACCCAACTTGTAGAGCTAGTATGGAGGGCCTGAGAGAAGACCCAAGCCATATGGCTTCAGAGCCCCTGACCTTCCCTCTAAGTGACAAGGCCTCCTTATGGAAGGGAACATGGTTTCAGTGCCCAGCTCCACTCTCTCCTAGCTGTGTGACTCCAGGTGAGTTACTTAATTTTGTGTCCTGCTCCTTATCGGAAAAACGAGCACAAGCACAGAACACATCCCATGAGTTCACTGAGCAGACACTCAACTGGAGCCTAAGGTAAAGCCCCAGTGTGTACCTGTGTGCTGGGCCCCAGCACCTGCAGCCAAGTGCTGGGCACAACCCTGCACAGCCTCCTGTTCCGCCTTCCCACTGCAGGCAGTTGCCATCTCAGGGGACAGAACTCTCTCGTCATTTATAACATACTAGAGGTCCCATGCATGGATTCATGCACAGGTGGGGTCCCTTGGCCTAGCTGGCAATTGGGGCTGATTGGGGCTGTTTCACCCAGTCCCCATGGGGCCGATTTGGGCTGTCAGGCGGGACCATGGGAGGTTGACTATGAGAGCACACTGACTACCAGGGGGCAGCTCCTGCATTCAGCATCTGCCCCCTGGTGGCTAGTGTGCATAACAGCTATCTGTCAGTTGTCCAGTCATAACAGTTGCTTAGGTTTTTATATATATAGACTAGAGGCCCAGTGCTTGAAATTTGTGCATGGAAGGGTGGGAAGGGGTCCCTCAGCCCAGCCTGCACCCTCTCACGATCTGGGACCACTGGCTCCTAACTGCTTGTCTGCTTGCCCCTAACCACTCCCCTGCCTGTCTAATTGCCCTTAACCGCCTCTGGCTCAAATCCTGCACCTGGGACCCAGGCTTCCCTCCTGCAGCTGGCCGCAGGCAACTGGCCCTGGCTTTGTCAGGAAGGACATCCGGAATGGCATCGTAAGATGTATGGTCAATCCATTCTAATTAGCATATTACCCTTTTATTAGTACAGATTCCTCTTGAAGGCAGGGTCTGAAATATTGACTTGTTCCCTATAAAATCTCTAACAAACAGTAAATGCTGTGCAGTTGATTAATAGCTTTATTTTTGATAAATTAGGAGAGAAATCAAATGGTTCTAAGTCTACAGGTGTTTAATCAGCAAACCATGTGGAGGCAAAGGGTGAAAATTGATTCACAGTAAGGAGGTGAATCAATTCTTCTGTAGTTGAATCTCAAAATCAGAACTGTGACATAAACTCCCCACTGAATGGGTAGGGAGGGCAGACACTGAGTACAACATAGATAAGGCTACTTTTTGGCAAAGAAAAGGGAGTCTCTCCAGAGTCCACTCACTGTCCTCCCTCAGAAATAGCTTCTCTCATTTTTAATACATTATTTTTTGTGAATGTATTTGCTATAATGTTACCAACAACATTTGGTTTCAGTTCTAAATCATTCACATATGCTTTACTTAACTACTTTAATTTAAGCAGCATCTATCCACATGTCAAATGTCATGTGGAGGCAGATAATCACTTGGCTTGAAAACGTCTGGGGACAGGGAAGGGGAAGGAATGAGGTTCCTGGAAAAATCCCAACGTGCAAGTTTCATCTCTGTAAGGAAAAATCCCGATGTTAGCAGTACTGGGCTGTTAGGAATACATCTACAGGGTTACTAACTGGTTCTCAGAGCAAATGAGTATGCTGGCGCGCTGCACCCCCGCAGCCAACATGAGACATGGTGCACAGGGAGTCGGGCTCCGGCAGCCCTGGGGCCCCTGGCCTCGGTGTGGGGGCGGGGCCTGTCTCAGCTTGAAGAAAATGTACGTCACTAACCTGCAGTGCTCACCATATACTTCCACTTGACCACATAGGCGTCCCCTTCGTGGAACTGCCCAATGCTCTGTTTGGGGAGCCTGCTGTAGTCGAACTCGAGGATATGCCAGACATCCACCGAGACACTAGCAATCTCAAAGTGCCTGCGGTCATCCCCTTCCACTAGGCCATAGCCACGGCCCACGTTCACCCCGTCCAGCACAGTGCCAGCTGTCGTCTGGGGCACTGGCACCATCCGGGTCACATCGTATGGCTTGACGTCAGCCCTTGGATCTTCCTACAGGGAACATAAAATGTCTGATCAGTTGCCTATTTTTCCAGCAGTTTTGTCTCGCACTCCGTGCTGCTTCACGGTTAACTGGACAGTGCAAGAGCACAGCTTTCACACTCTGTCCCAGGGCACTGGACTGCACTAGGGAAAGGCTGCATTTATGGGAAAGACTCAGGGAGGCCTGAATACCTACCCCACCACAGTGAGCGGGACACCCATAAACCCAAAGGTACAAACAAGGCTATTTTCACTCTTCCAGTTGGAATATAGTAGGAAACTGGTTTGCTGTTCTACTAGTAAATCCTGGGAAGTCTTAGCTTTCAGGCCTCTTTTGTTGGGACCCAAACCAAGCCCTGAGCTTTGGGCCTGGCCACCCGGAATACCTTCTGCTGAGCCAGTTCACTGGCGTTCTTCTCATTCGGTCTCTTCAATTCGGTCCAATCGAGAAATTTCTCTTTGAACAAAATAGTCTCATTGTGTTCTGTAAGTCTCCCAAATATTGCCCAATCAGGCCGCCCTTGTCCTTTTCTGTAGGTATGTGGGTGGGGTGCAGATAGGAAAAGAGCCATAGTTAAGCCATGATAAAACAAAGGAAAGGAATCTAAAACAAAAACATGTATTATGGAAAAACAAACCAACAAACAAACGGAAAAACACACCAAAATATATAAGTAGTATATAGAATGGTCTGTTCTTTCTTATTTTACCAAATAAGTGACATTTTATTCTTTTAGCCCGAAACCTTGCAAAACTCTGTGTCCACAGAATTATAGTTGAAATGCAATGAGGACCACGTCAGGACTGGACTTTTCTGGCATCCTAGTACATTCTCGTGTTCGGGAGAGCCTGGGGTCTGTGCACTAGGCTGGGAGCAGGTGAGGCAGGATTTACATGCTTATCTCCCTGGCCTCCTTCATGCTGCCCTCAGGCCCCTCAGCTGCTCACCAAGTTTCTGCAAAGTGGAATAGATGGGAGTTCTCCTGAATTCTATTAGGTCATGTTACGACAAACTCTCCAGTCTAACTCTCCTCTGTTACAAAACTGAACATAATTTCATATACCATGAAGTAAAGATTTGCATATTTATTTCTAGGCCCCTGGATGTGACAGTAGGCAGGAGGAGCACAAGGACACAGGGAAGGAAGTGGCACAGCCCAGCCTGGAGGGCTGGTCCTGTCTCAGTCCCTCGGAATGTGAACCTGTGCTTGAAATAAACAGTGACCGAGAGAAAGAGGTACTGGCATACCTCAGAGATACTGTGGACTGGGCTCCAGACCACCACAGCAAAGCGAGTCATAATCTTTTTGCTGGTGGAGGGTCTTGCCTTCAACGTGTAACACTCAACATTTGTGAAGCGCAATGAAACGAAGTATGCCTGAACATCTGAGAAAACTCATGCTGTGGAGGGTCCAGCCCTGAGAAGAAGGTGCAGGCATTTCTCATCCTTCCAAACCAACCACTGGTTGTAAATTATGACCAGGATGCATATGACGCCTCAGACCGATGGGCAGTGCTCACTGGGCTGCTGTGGCTCCTGTTTTAGACCAGACTACAGCTTCTGGCACAAAAGCACATCACAGAGGCTACCTGTCTCAAAGGAGACCAAAGCAAGGTGCAGATACTGCTGCCTCTTTCTCCCAGGGGACTTAAGGTACCAAGTATCAGCAACTATGGGAAATGCAGGACTCCCTTGAAAGGCTGCGGTCTTCACCAGAAATGCCGAAAGACTGTCTTTTATATAATTTTGACTCTGCAGACTTGCTAAGATGCCTACAGGAAATGCTTTTGGTGTCAGTTTTAGAAATGTATCTTTTAAGTACGAGAGGGAACAGGCGTCAGTGTGACAGTGGGGACAGGGGTGGGAGCAGGTGTGCTTGTCCCCACCCCTGTGACACACACTATCCAATTGTCCAATTGGGCTAAGTCATGACATCTCGGTGGTTTCAGCCTCCTTGTTTCTTAAGAAGACTGCACTTAAAAATGTCCGGGAAGCTTTCAGGACATACTGATACTGCACACAAGTTGAAAACACATCTCTGGGGCTGGGGCTGGCACATGCATTTTTTTTTTTTTTTTGAAAAATTCCTTAGCTGATTATGATCTGGGAGATGTTGATCTGGGGATTGAGTACTCTCTCAGCTGCTTCCAGATCTGCGGGCATGCCACTGCTAAATAGAAATTGTCCATCATATGGATTTTATTCTCATACATTGTATTTTTCATTTAATATACTAAGTAAAAGATTATTTTTAGCCTTCACCTCTGTCTGTAAAATGCTAGTACTAATTTTAGGTTAAATGTGGTTAAAAGTTTTCACCTTATATCAACAGAACTTTTAATAGTTTCTATTTGGATAACAGTAACATCAATAACTTGATTTTAAAACAGAAAACTAGGTAGGAAAGTTGAAATCTGTATACTAGTTCAATGGAAACGATGAAATTGCAGTTGTGTGATACCTATGCACACCTATTTCTATGACACATACTTTTCTAGTTGTTAAGGAAAAAAATCTCTTTGCATAAATAATTATTTTTGTTATGATCACATTTCTTTGAGTTTGTGAGTATTTTTATGATTTGCCAAATTACTTAAAAAAGTCCAGTATGCTGTAGAAAATAATAATTTTACAATCATTATTTTAATTCCATATCATCCCCCCTCCTTCTGAGAGAAGGCATAAATGTCACCTACTGCCAAATCAATGATAAACCCTGGAATTCAAGAGCTATCCTGTGACAGTGTGAAGTTAGAAGGAAGTGTGTTGCTTTTGCACCGTTAGATTAATAGGAAGTCTTCAGATCAACATGTAATTTGTTTAAACAATTGCTATCCATCTGTCAATAGCACCTGGAATGCTGCAGGTGAAAATAATTTGTTCACTTCAAGACATGTAATATAACAAACATCTTCAAGAAGACACCCGTGTTTCTGTATTACTTAGGTAAAAGCTAAAGAAATGTTCCTTTCTAAATATCCATGGTACTGCACGGCAGTCATTTAACTAAAATCAAAAACCTATGAAGAGCAACAGTAGCCAATTGGGTGAGAACTGAGGCCCCTGAGAGAATCTGCTTGCTCTGCAGGACCGTGAGAATCACAGGAGTACCTGGGAATAAGTGGATTGCATTCTCCGGGATCCAGTGGGTTAATGTCACAGTTCTCATAATCAAAGGTTCCATTCCATAAGTGCTTTGCCAGCTGAAATGCTATTTTCCGTTGTGCCAATGTAACTTCTTTTCCATGCCACACGTAAACTTCACTACCAAAATCAAACACCAGTACCTGGGAGAAGGGCACAGAAGGATTTATTAACTTCAAGGATAAGCTCCAGTTGAATCAGGCTCCCTACTGACAGTGAGTCAAATCAGGCTCCCTACTGACAGTGAGTCAAACACAAGAAGATAACAAGACCTACAAGCTGGCACTTCCAGCCAGCCTCTACCTGACAGGTAGAATTCCATTTCATTGTCCGTTTCACTGTCAGTAAGGAGCCCAAGTTAATGTTCCCTCCTCTGAACTCTCAAACTACCTCAAACTTCTGATTAATCAAAGAGTGAAGGCCATCTTCCTATCATCCTTCCCTTTTCTCCCCCTTCTCCCTCCCTCCCTTTCTTCTTCTATTCATTCACTTAGTATATACAGGTCACTTCATACATTCCAGGCACAGAGATGACAGGTGCCATCTCTCCTCTATATAGTTCTAAGACCCCCAAGGGCAGAGAGCATACCATACGTACATTTATAATAGGGTTACTCTTTGCTGAACGAATTCATGAATGGGGTACTATCTCTTATTTTCAAGGCTATAGTTTGTTCTACTCTTTCTTCCTAGAATAACTTCTCCCTTCATTTCCAATAATCCAAATTCTATTTAATTTCAAACAAGGCTCAGTTTCACTTTCTCTTTTAAGTTATTCCTGATTATTTCTGTGACCGTTTTTCCTCCCATTTAAATGCCCACACATATGATACAATCAATCTAGTTTTGGATTACAGTCTTTATAATACTCTTCTATTCAATAAAATTTTGAGTAGCACTTTTTCTCTCAACATTTAGATTACTTACTTAATGGACCTGGAAATGTATGTATTTAATATTTAGGGTGTGTGAGAGAAAAAAGGACATATAAATGTATGTATTTAGTATTCAGGATGTGAGAGGAAAAAATGACATATGGAAAGAATATATAATTCCCTGAAACTTAAGGAGTGAAAATTATTTAATTTTTATACAAAAATCAAGAGATGGGGCATATATATATATATATATATATATATATATATATATAGCCTAAAATATTCTAAATTCTATATTAGTAATCAAGATGTAAGTAATGGTTGGAAATTACAAATAAATATCCTTTCAAAAGATGTTACTAACTCACGACAGTACTTACTGATAGCTAGGATTTATGGGCACTTACTAACTATTTTATGGGGCAGCCCTGTGCAGACTGCTCCGCCCACTCCCTATACCTCTTTTGACTGCAGAAGGGAGCACTTTGGGATTTTCCCCCAGAAGTCATCATCAGGAACAAGCTTGTCATCCACCAGACGGTAAGTGCAGTTTGTTTCTATTATGGCTGTTTCATACAGTTCGTCTTCCTTTGGGTCTCCAGCAGCTTTGGGATATGAATAATGAGAGGGTATTACATTAGATGTTGAAATGGGGCTGGTTTAGAAGAATGAAGTAGGGGAGAAGAAAGGATATTTAAGTCTTGTCATTCTCTGACATACAGTAAACTCTTACATTGGTAACTGGTTTGGCCACCCAGAAGCTTCCAGAAATCTTTGGCTGCATGAGTGTGTGTATTAATTCCTTCTTCAATAGTTTGGATATAAGTAGCTCTACAACCAAGTTCCCTCTTTGTCTGAATTAAAGTTGCAAGTTCTGAGGCCTGAAAAAAGGGAGGAACACCGTTATCTGGGTAGACAGCCTGTGGCTAGCTGGGGAGGCACACTCTGAAATCCAAGACCAGAAATGGTCTGAAAGGAAAACCTGGTGACCAGGAGCCCAAGGCACCGGTGGTTGAATATTTTTAACAAAATTAAGAAAATGTAACTAAACAAACAGAGGCATCAATTCTTTAGATCACATGAATTCAAACAGATCACATAAATTGGTAAAAGCTACCTGTTCTCTGGACTTTTCCCCATGAGATCCTCATTCACTGTCTGGAGCAAGATTTCACAGGGACTTGGGATAAGCAACTATGAAGTGATGTGCCAGCTTTTTTTTTTTTACACAAAAGAGAACACAGCCAGGACTTCCCCTGGAGGGATAGGTAACAATCCCCCTAAAATACCACACTGCACACCTATTGAAAGTTTGTTTGAGAGATATTCAGAACAATATCTATCTCTTCTCACTCAAATGAAACTGTGCACTTGAGAAGCTTTGCAATCATCTGGCAACTGGTAGGATATTCTGTCAGTGTATAAAGGAGATGCTCAACTAAACTATTTTATTTTTCAGATACCAACCTTCGCCTTTTCTATGACATTTGCAAACTCTCCTACCCACAGGAAGCAGTAGTGGGGAGAGAGCAGGAGAAAGCAGTCCCCGCTGTTGAGTGATGAAGCTCGGGGTTCCACCAGTCTTGTCTGCACATGTCTTCTTCCTGAACAAAAGGCAAAAAAACACCAGCTCCCAGAAAGGAGAATTCCCCCAGCCACAGGAAGGACCAGAGAGCACCCCATCCGAGCATCGCTTTCAATTCTAAAGAGTCTGGCCTATCTACATTAGTTTCCATAACTGGGAATGGCGGAAGGGGATTCAGAATGGCAACATCATAGATTACATTCCTTTTAGTGCCTTCCCAAATGCCACCATGTCCTCAGGACCACTGTCAGTGTCCTTTTACAGCACAGACATAGGTTAGTTGGGGTTCCTTCCACCAGGAAAGGCAGCACCATGCTCCTTTCCCTGTTCGCTCATCTCCTAGCCTTCCCAGGTGAGGGAGTGCCTTTCACAGCTTCTGCTTGCTCCAGAGTTTTTGGCTGGGAGTCTTTTGGGCATCAGTCTAGAGTCAAGCACTGCCTTGTGGATCTTCCTACAAATACACTGATAGTATCGTCTCTGGGTTAAAACCAAGAATAGAGGCTGGTTATTGGAGCCTGTCATTGGGATGGACATGGACATGCACAACATTTGGGAAACCCTCCCAGATGGACAGGAGATTTCATCTATCCTCTCCTGGTGATAAACCTTGAGCTGCTGCCACTGGGACACAGCCAAATCTACCCTCACAGCCCAGAGCTAGGTCTCCCTTGCTATGGATAGAAAAGGTGATGAATTGGAATCCAGGTCTACCTCACTTGCTCTGTTTCCTCTGGATTCCTTCTCCAAGGATATACCTCTGTCTATCTCTGCCCTGCATTGACTCTTATTTGTGTCAGGGAGGCAACTGTGTGGAGAGAACACTATGACAATTTAGGGGGTCTGGTAACTGCCTAACAGTGTGTGGCAGGGGCCACAGGGTAAAGGGGGCAGCCACCTAAGCTGTTTCTCAAATGGGAGAGACCAAGGTTCAATGCTGCTCAACAACTGCTGATCACAGGCACATCACTAACCCCTTAAACCTCAGGGGTACACCGCCTCATGGATTGTATGAAGCTTACTTGAGAGGAGGAAGTTCAGTACCTGGCACATAGCAGGTCCTTAAAAGCGTGAGGTGAGTTCCCTTCCCATGTCAGGCAGTTAAGGGCAGTCAGGACCCCTGATGCTGCCTGACTGAAGCCCAGGTCCTGATGTAACTCCTCCTGCTCTTACATACCTTTGATCTGCAACAGCATCAGCTTCTTGAAGGGCACTGCACTGTTGTTAGAATTCTGTTCTGTCAGGTTGACGCTTCGCAGACTGATGCTGCTGAAGTTTTCTTTACTGGCTAAACCTGCCAGGGTGACTTCTGAGAAGTTGGAGTTGGAGGACACTGGGCCGATTGAACAAGGAAACACAAAAACACAGGGAAAAGCAAGATGTTCAGGTGAAATGACAATGCTTACAATCAGAAATTATTCATCACCAGCTATCTTTTTCTTTTAAAGTTAATCCTTGAGAACATACCCAAGTCTGATTAACTGCAGTGCAATGCTAAACCCCCGTATTAAGGATTCAACACTGTACTGAAAGTATAAACTGCTATTGACAAGTGTCACACCTCACAACGTAGAGACAAGAATAGAGTGATAATGTGTCACAGCTACTTTAGTATAAAATTAGGAACTGGACTCATTTGTTTAAATTCCATTCGAAGCTGTTAAAAGTTCCTAACAATGTTGAGATGTTGAAAATGCATTCTCAAGGAAGATTGTTAAGTGTCTTTCACCAAAAGCCTTTATTTTCTACCAAAAATAGAAAAGCAGGCATTCTATATGGGATGGTTACTTTACAATCTTTTTATGGAGGCAAAGTATTATAATAAATTACTGATCCTCTGAGGTCCTTTGCTTTCAATTTAAGATTGTAATAACAAGATGCTGAGTTTTCATCTGGACCAACAAATGTATATGTGCCAGTCACCACAAACACATCATCTGCACTCCCTCTAGGTGGAAATAGAGGAAAGATAGATAAGACTTGTTCCAATAAACCTTCATTTCTCCAACTCATTTTAAAATATATATATATATATATATATATATATATATATATATATATATATATATATGCTGGAAAGCAATTCAGAAAAATTACTTTGCTGGGATCAGGTTCTTATACTGAAGAAATATATAACACATCTTGAGAATTCATGAGGCATAGTGATTTTGAAATACACTTTCTGAGTAAACCAGTTATGTTGACAAGACTCAATCACTTTATTTAGTTACTATATTCCTAAGAAAAGCTTTAGGAAATTGGTTTATGAGTGCTATAGGAAAACAACAATTATATTCAAAATTAAAGAATATTTAAAACAGCACAATTATGTATGTCATTATTACTACCAAGGAAACCTCTGTTTCAAAACTATGAAATTCCACTTTACTGGGCAGGCAGGTAAAAGCAGAGCAGCACTGTCACGTGAGGCACTCAGCCTGGAGTCTACCTCCTCATGCTCCTTTCACTATCCCTCCCTCCTCCCCCCTCTCCACCCAGCCCACATCCCACCAAAGACAATTTGCAGAGCACTGGTTTGTGCATTAATTAATAACATAAAAATCTAGGATTAGGCAAAGCAGTGATTTGGCACATTTTCCCTTGATAAATCAAATTATTTCCTCTTGAATAAGATTAAGCAGAGAATTATTGTGTTTGGGCCCTACAGAGCTGACAATGGGATAAATTACAAAGCCCAAAAATATCTTTTTCCTCCAATCTCTTGGAAAAAATGCAGCAGGGTAATTTGAATTTTCCAATTAACAGATGTTCAATGCTAGAAGAATTTCTGTGTAAAGCCTTTACATTATATACAGATTTTCTGCAGGTGTGCACAAATTTACTCATTTTTATTTAATGAGTGTCTTATGAGCAACATTATTGGCCTTTGCAAGGCAGAAAAAGGAGGATTAAAATCACCACATCACACCCTGGCCAGAATTCTCAGTGGTTAGAACATCAGCCCACACACCTAAGGTCTTGGGTTCGATTCCTGATCAAGAGCATGGACCTGGGTTGTAGGTTCAATCTCCCATCTTGGCCAGAGCACAAGCAGGAGGCAAGCAATCATTGTGTCTCTCTCACATTGATGTTTCTCCCTCTCTCCCTTTTAGTCTCTCTAAAAATCAATGGAAAATATATCCTCAGGTAAGGATTAACAAAATACTATATATTAAAAAAATAAAATGTGCAACCTCAATTGTTAAAAAATATATCGCCAGATCATTAGTTCCCAAGCACAGAAGCAAGTTGTTTGGTTCCAAATACTCACTCTTTTCTACTTTCATCCGTTTTGACTCCATAAAGGCAACATTTAGTCTCTGCTCAGTATATTCCTGAAGGAGGTCTTCTCTTGCTGCCAGCATTTTCAGCGGGTTTTTGGAAGCCTGAACCCGGCGCTTGGGTCTAACTGCACGCTTGTGCTCGGCCACGGCAGACGTCAACCTGAGGAACAAAGCAGAGCTGAGCCTTGGACTATAATAACTCCTGGCCTGTTGAGGCTCTCTGATCTGAAGCAATGGGTTCTACATTTTTATTCCCTGATTTCATTTTAAATCTTACAACTCTTCCTCCTGCCCGCCACTCTCCTGACATAAAGTCATAGTACCACAGGGATGAAAGGGAGATTCAAGGAGAGAGTCATAGAGTGTAAGAACTCAGACAATTCCCAAAGCCCCCACTCTCCCAACCCCGTGGCTCTGCCTGAAAAACAATAGTCCCTAATGGGGCAGCTTATCCCACTCCTCCATAGATCTCAGGGGTAGGAAGTTCTTCCCCAACCCTACACACTCACAGACCCGTTCCATCTCTGCCCTTTGTAGCAGTACACACATCTACCTCTTCAGTTACTAACAAGCCCTTCAAGAATTTACATCCAGCCATTGCTTCTCCATTTTATTCTCTTTCCTCCAAACTAACTTTTCTTTTCACAAAATAATTTTTCAATTCCCTCACCAACTCTCTCATAACGAGTCTCTTCACAAACCATTGCCTCCCTCTGAAAAATAACTACTATTTTGAAAAAAAAAATAGATTGAAGTAAAATAGGCTCACAAACCAGCAATGACTGCTACACATTCACACAACTCCAGGGCAGAAGATCAGACTGGGTGGACACAGTCACATGACTTCCCAACAGATTCCTGATGCTGCTCTCAACTTCCAACAGCATAGGTGTCTGCAAGTTTCCTTTATATATAATATTGTTTGTGTGTGTGTGTGTGTGTGTGTGTGTGTAAAAACATGCACATATATTTAAATTATATGTAATAATTTAAAAAATTTAAACATTTGAGTTGGGAGAAGATTGAGAAATGGCTGAACAACCATGCACACAAATACCCAAAACATTATTTAAATATAAGAAATGGTAAAATGTTAATTTTCTTAAGGTAGCAAATTAAATAAAAGAAGCATATTGAAACATGCAACAAATTTATCAGAAGTAGTTTAAGGACAAATTTGTGATGACTACACAGACTTAAGGAAGAGACTGTCACTCTGATAAACTTTTAGAAAATAGATAAATGTGGTCAATAGCTGTGGGTTTATCCTGTTCAGGGTATTTTTCCTGCTTCTGATAAGAGCATCCTGACTCTCCTTAGGAGGACTCATCTTACTCCATCCCCTGCCTCCAAGCCCGGCTCAGGATTGGATCCAGAGACCAGCTCTGGCCATTCACTGTCTTGCATCTCCTTGGCCACAATGATTGTTTTAGGGATAGACTCACATCCAAGAAAATCAAGCCCGAAACTTCTGCTGGAGCTATTGGGAAGAGAAGCTGCCTGTGCTGGAGTGGCCAAGGCAAAGGTGCCTTCCACCCCATGGTCACAACCCAACTGAAAGTGAAGAAATCCAGAGGAAAGTAGGCAAGAGAGAGACCACATTCTGAAGAGGAATCATAAACCATAATTGCTTTCCTTATGTGACTTAGTCAGGTTCCTGTGTGAAGACAGGCCTTTGGACATACTGAGAAAACTCTCAGATCTACTGATTTTATAAATTACTAGAGGCCCAGTGCATAATATTAGTGCACTGGGAGGCAGGGAGACCCTCAGCCTGGCCTGCACCCTCTCACAGTCTGGGATGTATCAGGGGATGTCCAACTGTCGGTTTAGGCCCTCTACCTGGGATAGTGGGCCTAAGCCGACAGTCGGACATCCCTTGATGGGTCCTTAGCATTGCTGCGGAGGCGAGAGAGGCTTCTGCCACTGCCGCTGTGCTTGCTAGCCATAAACTCGGCTTCTGGCTGAGCAGTGCTCCCCCTGTGGGAGCACATTGACCACCAGGGGGCAGCTCCTGTGTTGAGCATATGCTCCCTGGTGGTCAGTGCTCGTCGCAGTGACCAGTTGTCCTACCGTTTGGTCAATTTGCATATTAGCCTTTTATTATATATTATAGGATTGTAGTTAAGTAACATGCTTTATTGATTTTCTATTTAGTTGTATTAATTTAAGCCCATGAAATCCAAATACTTTTTAAAGTCATTAGTAAGAATGGTATGTCAAATAAAAGACGGTATAGAAATCTCTATTAACCGATGTTAATCTAAAAATATCCAGAACAATATTGGAGTAGGTAAAAAATCCAGTGACATTTTAGGAACAGGGCAAACACCTGTGGCACATGCTCTGTCTGTAAGACTTTCTGCCTGAATGTGCATCAGTTCTGGGCATGCATGTTTCATCAACCCACAGCCCTATGTGTCTGGCTCAGAGAATACAATAGACCCCCCTTCCTCCATCTACAGTTTCACTTTCCATGGTTTTAGTTACCAAGGGTCATCCACAGTATGCAAATATTAAATGGAAAATTCTAGTAATAAATCGTAAGTTTTAAATTATGTGCCATTTTGAGTAGCAGTATAACATTTGTTGCCATTCCATTCCATCCTGTGACTCATCCACTTTGAAGGTGCTCCCCGCCCATTAGTCACTTAGTAGCCACCTTGATTATCAGATCGACTGTAACAGTATTACAGTCCTTGTGTTCAAGTCACCTTAGTTTACTTAATAATGGCCCCAAAGAACAATAGCAATGATGGTAATTCAGAGATGCCAGAGAGAAGCCATATAGTACTTTCTTTAAGTGAAAAAGGTATTTAGGTATTTATGAAATATGGGAGGGGGTAGGGAGGAGAGAAACATTATATGAAAAGACTGGTATGATCTCCAGATCCAGGCATCTTAGAACATATCCCCATGAATAAAGGGAAGAGAAAACTACTGTAATAATTTGTCTGTAATGAAGTTTTATCAGAGTGAGAGAAAAGAGCTCATGAAAATACTGGGTAGAGGCCGATGCAGGAGTCCATTCTCAGTGGGTGAAAAACAGAAACTTCAGTAACTTACTTGGGGACATAAGGGTCGAAAATAACATCAAAGTCTTCTTCCAGCTCTACAGGGCTCCTTGGCATGGTATCATCCATGCTGCGGTAAAATTTGGCAAAGGTTTCGTCATCATCCAACTTCATCACCTCCTTAACAGATTTGCCCGTGACGGTGAGTACAGTTTCTTGCATCCCACCAACTATCAATAAACAAGCAAGTAAATGGAGTAAATTTGTGTAAAATCATTATTCCAATTGCACCTCCCAATTCCTTAAAATTTATTCCCCCTTCCCTCCATAGTGATAGCCATAATAGTGATAACATCCAGTGTCCTGTGGGTGCCTCCTAGGCCTTTCTTGCTTTCTCACTGAAGGACGTCCAGTGTGAACAATGCTTGCGCTGTGACGTGTAAAAGACAGCCAGGCTGGCCTTGCTACACACAAGCCCACTAAGTTCCTTTTGCTGCTCGAAGCAGAAGTAGCCTCAGTCTCTAAATGAGGGGTCAGGAAGATGTTTTTCTGCAAAGGGCCGTGGAGTACATGTTTTGGGCTTTCCATGGAAGGCTATATGGCCTGTGTTATAACTACTCAACTCAGTTGTTGTAGTGCAACAGTGACTACTGGCAATACCTTAACAGTAGTCATGACTGTATTCCAATAAAACTCAATTTACAAAAACAGGTGGTGAGTTGGATTAGACCCCTGGGCTAGATCACTGTTGAATTGTTTGCATTCCTTGCCTTGCAGGTTAGTTATCCTATTACACTTTTATATTTCTGGTTTAAAGGGTTTTATTGTGTGTTTTGTGTGTGTGTGTGTGTGTGTGTGTGTGTGTGTGTGTGTGTGTGTATTATTTCCAAATGATTAGGGGTCAGTGTCAATGATAGGCACTCCCAAAGTATAATATTTGATAAGCTTTAAGTACTGAAAATTTTAACTAAGAGATAAGGGTATTCCTGCATTTTATTCTTTTATTTTTTATATTCCATTGACTTTTGTACTGAAATATTTATTTCAACTTATTACTTACCTAAATTTCCTTTTAGAAATTATTTGTGATTATAAGATATATTAACAGCTACCTTATTGGAAATTGACATATACAATTTAAAGTTCATCAGCCCAAGATCATGTTGACCTTGTATAATAGAATAATCTGCTTTCAGGGTTCAAAGCAAAATTAAATTATGATTCTGATGGGATGTCACCCCAAGATTTACCTTAATAAGAAATGTTATTGGGGGTCTCAAATTTAGTACATTATCAAGTGGGTCAGAGCTTGGTAATACAATCAGACTTGACCAGTAACTTCATTTTTAAAAAGATAACAGCAAAGATAATGCTTATAGAATAAATCAGTCTGGTCATGTAGAAAGAAGACAGTTTAACTGAGGAGAAAGCCATCACAAATGGGACGTAGAGGTTCTGAGAGAGGAGCAGGTTCTTTTTAGGTTTCCTTAGCTACTCACTGAAATACGAATCGCAGTGTGCTACAAGTATCTAAACCAAAGCTTCCCTCTGGCTTCTGGCATGTACCTTTGTTATTCAGCCTTTTCAGAAAGCTTTCCAGCCTGTCCAACTTCAGGTCCGATTCTAACTGCATGTCTGGTCTGGCTTCAATATCTAGGCAAGGAGAAAGCATCGATGAGAGAGAACCACTGAGGACTCAAGAGTCCCTGGCATATCGGGTGCCTTGATGACTTACCTTCCAGGGGTTTGGAAATGGGTGTTGTGCCCCTTGTTTTACTGCTAATAGGGGACGCTACTGGTGTGATGGCAGTGGGTGATGCCAAACCTGCAGAACAAACAAGGAGCTGTTTAGTATCTCAGGGTCATTCCTGGAAAGTCTCCTGACCCTATTGGATGTAGATTTTACAATTCATAGAATTTATACGCAAACATGCATGTGTACATACAAATACATTTGGCAGGTACCATGACGGTGTAGGACAACTGCACATGTAGATAGACATCTGTTAGTTTCTAAGGACTATTGTGTCTGATAAGCTGCCATTCCAAAACGAGTAACGAGGACGTAGGAATACATGGCCATACACGTGAGTGGGATAAGGAAGTACAAGTCTATTAGAATATACTTTAACAAATGGAGGTGAGCTCTGAAGGCCCTTTGTGGTGGTGCGCATAGTTGAGGAGGAAGTCTATTTGCACCATCTCCCACGGAAAAAAAGGAGAAGGGATTGTGTCACACTGGCTCGCAGTGGCTGCCAGCACAAGTTTCCTTTCAGGCTGAGGTGAACTAGGGACAGTCTAGCCTTTGGAGCATCATTCAGAGGAGAGTGGCTCTACTGAGCAATAACTGAAGAGTGCTGACCCTGTAGAAGAAAAGACAAGAGTACACAGTGGAAGTGATTTATGATCTTTGGCAGGGCATATCCATCTCTGGTGTGGCTGGGAACCTGTGATATGCTTTCTCATATATTTATCATGAAGCAGGGTGGGGAATCTTTAAAGGGAGAAATGGTAAGGGACACATGAAAGGCAAAGAAAGAAATTTCAGCATGAAAAAGGTATCTGGTCAGAACAAGAAATTTTAATAAAAGAAAATATGTCAGCAACTCCTTTTCCCCCACCCCCAACTTAAGTAGAAGGATTTGGAAAGGAGAATAATTAGTACATTTACAAAGGACAAGTGAGGTGTTAATGTTCTGTGTTTAATGTGAAATCCTTAGATAACATTGCCACTTTGAGCATTCCTCAAAGTACATCTGAAGAAGATGTGAGTCACTATCAACTACAAGGAAAAATAAATGAATGACTTGCTCTGCTCCTTCCTCCTGTGAGCCAGAGAAAGATGTATTACTTACAGCATTAAAATTTTAAGGCAAAATAATGAATTCTAGTTTAAAACTTAAGTTTTAGGTGATATTCTAGAATTCTTCAAGACATACAAAGGATGTCAGCTTTTCAAATTTTATTTCATTTACTAGACCTGCAAAGGGTTTACATCAGTGAGAAAATAAAATTTTCCTGAAAGATAATAAAGATAGATGAAATTTGGTTCACAGGCTGGGGCAGTAAATCGTTACCTACAAAAAGGATGCAAAAGAGACATGGAAAGGTTCATTAGCACGGAGGTCATTAACTCTAAAGTTAAAACAGGCCAACAGGAAACCTGACCCTTTGTACTGCCAGGGGACCCCCTGCTGCCCATTCAGACAGCAGCATGCAGGAGGGCTCTTGGATGTGAGCCACCTCTTTCCCAGGTAAATATTAGTATTTTTCTGCATGTAAATAGATTTAAATTACACACTAAAACAAAGCACTCCCCATACCTCTCCAATGACTTCTACTTGCAATAATCTTTACCCACTCTCTTCAGGAACATTTTCACATCCCTCTTGTTCAAGACATACTGTATTTTTCTTCCAGGAGAAGTAGAATATCACAGAAACCCTTTGGAGTGCTAATTGTTACAGATACTCTAGGAGTATCAAGAAGGGAAAAAGTCCTAATGAGCAGTAGAGAACAGTAGTGTTTAAAAGTCCTAGAGAACAGTAGAGTTTTCTGGCCTGAAAGAATGAAATGAGTGTGCCTCTTGGCAATCTACTGATATGCAGTAACTCATATATGCCATTGTAACCATATGAAATGGGATGTTTCAGTGACTGCAGTGTAGGGGGTTATTTTATTTTATTGTGAGTATAAACTGGATGCCATTTTACTGCAAATAAAACAGCTGACAACACAAGTGAACATATAACCCAGTAGGTGGTAACAAATATTAGAAAAATAGGGTACAATGTTTTTCATTAGGCTAAAAGTGTAAGAAAATTATTTCCTGAGCCAACAATATAGCATCTGTTAAATAAAGATCTCTGATTTATTCAGGAAAATGTGAATGTAAACTCATCCTCTGAGATAGGAACTTCCTGGATCTTGCTCTCTAAGCCCATGTAAGATAAATCTCCTTCCTCTGACAGTGCTGTGGACTAGAGCAGTGGGTTTTGGTAGTAAGTGGGCCTACCTACAAATCAGTGTGATTTTTTAAATGAAAGAAAAATAAAAAGTCATCAGGATGAAAGTCCAGGCTAGATCTGAGCTCTGGTTCATGTTCTCAGCTTGAATTCTTCTTGATCAATGTGGGCCTTAAGGAGCTGCTTTTGATAACACAGGATGGGGCTCATATTAAAGTAGTTTAACATGATTACCCTGTTCTGTGATTTGGTGAAAATACTCAAATGCTGCCTCATTTTGTGAGAGTAAGTTATCTGCTATTATCTTTTGACAATTCCAAGATTAGTTAAGAATTTGTTAGAAAGGATTCTTCTGCCAAGATTTGAGTTAATCACAGTTTAAGGATTTTCCCTCCCTCTTTTCCTTCTGCAAAGATTTATTATGAGATTACAGTGAGCTAGGCACTGTGTATGAGTGAGAATCGTGAAAGATTCTGAGAAAAGGGAAAGATAAACTTGGAAGAGCTAATGACAATATAAATGAACTCCGAGTGAATGTGAAAACCTTTATCACTAAATTAGAAAATTTGTTTTTAAACAATAACCCAGAAAATGAAGGCATGCCCAATAAGAGACAAAGAGATCCGTAATTCTAAATGTTTCCTATAGGATATAGAGGCTTAAAGCTCTCTGGTGACTTTACTAGCCATGTATAGGTTTCAAATTAGTTCCAAAAGCTCAGATGCATAGAAATGACTGTTTGCAGGGAAATCCCACTCCTTGAATTGGGTATATCTTTTAAACATATATTAAAACATGCTTGGAAATCCATCTTTGTAAGCCAGAGAACTCAGCTTTATGGAAAGGGACCCAGGAATTACCCTACAAGGGAGAAGACGGAAACTCCTTCTTCATTGAGAAAGGCTAATTTGGGTTAACTGATTGCCAGATGGCAAGAAAATGTAAATAATTTGAAAGCAATTATGGGAAAGAACTAAGATTTGTTAACAGATTTGTAATTGCTTTTGAAACCTGTGCTCAATCTTCAGATGGGTAAGTTTTGAAATTGAATTATGCTTTTTATATTGAAGATGACGCTATGTATAAAAAAAGGTTTCGGTAGGAATATCTCAGAAAACCGACCCCAAAACCATTTATGTAACATCCATGAGATTAAAAACTAAAATATACCATGGTGTGATTGTTTTCATTGAGCTGTCATGGATGATGGAGCATGTGCACACACATGAACACATGTACAACATGCACATTCGCAAACTGACCTTTCTTCACCATTCTCCCGGCCACGGTAAACTGGGTGGAGTCGTTAGCTGCCCCTTTGCCTTTTGTCTTCCAGGCTTCCTCTCTCACAGTAATGAGGTGCTTCCTCTCTTCAATAGTCATTTGGCTCTCTCGACTTTCTGTGACCTGCTTAGTTAAACATGTACAAAGGAGAAAACAGAAGAGGGAAATGAGAAAGAGGTGAATTTTAGCCCGTAGCATTTCATGAGCTGAAAAGCAGGCAAAGAGATACAACACTATCTGAAACTGTCCATAGCTATTCTGAAGTAGATTTGACCAGGTTGGATCAGAGATCACTGTCAGCAACACTGAAACTTTAAATCAAAACTTAGCTGTTTTTTAACTATTTGTCTGAAAAATTGGAACACCAAAACAATACTTTGTAAAAATAAACAAAAATAGAGATAGCTTTCATGCCAGGGCCTTTACAGAGTTTTTAAACTGGTCTGTTTTACCTATCTGGTTAAACTCAGGTGATAAGAAAATGTTCTTCATATACGTGTGTGTGTGTGTGTGTGTGCGTGTGTGTGTGTGTGTGTGTGTGTATACATCCATATATATTACATATACATGTATCACAAAGAACACTATCAATCTAGATCTTACCAATTAAGTTCACAGGAACATGGTCAATTATAAAGCAGGAAAAGCTGATCAGGAATAAGGTGTGCTGTAAGAAGGTTTTCTGGAATTTGACATGCTTTTTTTCTAGAGCAACTATGTTACATGGGCAGTTATTAAGCAATCAGGGCCTAATTTGTAGGTAATAATATATCTGACATTGAGGATGAACTGTGCTACAGATATAACTTACATATATAATGAAATTTTTATGTAAAAAATGATTTTTATAAACTTCTAATTGGGATTCTAGAGATATCTGCCTCTTCACTTTCTAAGCCACTGGTGATCCTCATTTGGCCCGAGGGAAAGCTGAGGGGCTGAGAGAGCAGGACATGAGGGAGAGCTCAGGCTGCTGGGGCTGAGGTCAGAGGATGAAAAGCAGCAAGGAGGCAGAGGACAGGGCTCAAGGCACCCAGCCATAGAGAAGGGGTGTGGCCCGGAGAAAGAGTGGGTGATGGCAGTAGGGTGGTTCGGGCAAGAGGCCTTCCAATGTTGGCAGGACAGAGCTTCACTGTAAGTCCCTCTCCGTGAAAGTATGGGCCAGGGCCTGAAGCAAGAGAGGGCAGGAGCCCAGGGAGCCAGTGTGGAGGAGGAGAGCCCCTCCCAGACAGGAGCCTCTGGGCTGTCCCCTCAAGGTCATCCAGGGGGCGCTCTAAAGATGGTGGTGGCCAAGGTCCTGGGCTTGTGCTTTTGCTTTCACCTCAGGATCTTCTCAGACCGAGGAATGCCATTTCCGCTAAGGCATCTGGCAGTTTCCCCAGCTCCTCTTCTCTCTTAAGGACTTTTCCTTTGAATAACATGAATCAAAGTGAGGGTCAGGCTTTCCAATGAGCCAGAGAGGAAATACATCTGGGGGCCACTGATTCTTCCTCAACTCCATCCAAGTGGCAAATCAGCTTCTCTTAACTGACCAACAGAGCATAACTTCCAGGTTTGTTGGGGGCTTCGCAAAGCCCTGGGATGATGGAGGCAGTGTAGGAAACAGGTCTCTCCAGCCTCTCCAGCCGCTTAAAACCCGGCCTGCCCTAATACCACTGGCTTAAACCATGAATATGGACCTTGACATCATCTCGTTTAGGAGTTTTCCTTTTACAGACTTCTTCCACAGAGCAGTCATAGCCAGAACTGGTCCTAGGATCTTTGGCCATTTAAATTAGGTTAAAAACCTCTTCCTAAAGAGACAGGCAACAAAATTCAGTGCATGATCCTGGCTTGAATCCTAAATGGGGTATGGGTGTGGGTAAAAGGATGTTATTAAGGTGAAATTGACACAATTGAAATATGAATCGTGGATTAAACATCTATCAATGTGATATTTCCTCATCTTGATGACTGTATTACAGTTGCATTATAGTTATGGAAGTATGCCATAGACTGAATGTCTGTGCTTCCCTCCCCTCCCCATATTCATTGGCTGAAAGCTAATACCTAATGTGATGGTATTGGGGGGGTGAAATCTCTATATATAAAAGGCTCATATGCTAAGTGTCCCTCCGCCTGTCTGGCTGGTCGCAATGATGCACACTAGCCCCCAGGGGGCAGTCGCTCAATGCAGGAGCTGTGGAGCTGCATTTTTGGCAGTGGCAGTGGTTCTCAGGTGATGCACCAGAAACCAGAGAGGAGGGAGCCCGATTCCTGGAGGGCCTTCTGATTCCACCTTCTGCCATGGGTTATGTTGTTGCTGGGGCACTGTAGGCCCTGAATCTGGTTTACTGCCACACTCGCACACTTGTGTTTGCGTTCCAACGCTGTATGACAGTAACTTTGCAGAGTGCCCTCTCATACTCTGGGACCCCTCTGGGGATGTTGGAGAGCCAGTTTTGGTCCAATCCCCGCAAACCAAGCCAAGGGAATCCACTTGCTGGAGGGACCCTGCTCATTCTATAGACACCCTTTGAGCCACAGTGCCACCCTAGGTGCACCGGCCGGGGAGGGACAAAGGGGGATTGGCTGCAGGACGTGTTCGGCCCATCTAGCCCAGTCCTGCTCCACAGGCCACCTTCTAATTAATTTTGTTTCAATGTGCACAAATCCATGTTCCGGATCACAAGTAAGGGAAAGCAGCAAGTCAACACTGGGGTGGGGAATGGAGAGAAGGGTGAGAAAAGTTGGGGAGTGAGCAAATGTCAACATATCAATCTGGTAAAACGCCCTAGTCGGTTTGGCTCAGTGGATAGAACATTGGTCTATGGACTGAAGGGTCCAGGGTTTAATCCCAGTGAAGGGCACATGCCCAGGTTGTGGGCTTGATCCCCAGTAGGGGGTGTGCAGGAGGCAGCCAATCAATGCTTTTCTCTCATTGATGTTTCTATCTCTCTCTTTCTCATTTTCCCTTCCTCTCTGAAGTCAATAAAGAAATATATTAAAAAATAATGAAAATAAACCTGGTAAAAGATATATGAGAATATTTTGTCTCTTATGATGACTTTTCTATAAGTTTTAAATTTTATCAGAATAGAATTATCAAAAATGTTTAAAATTTTTTTTTTAACTTTTCCACTTGCAATTGTCAAAATGATTCTAATTCCAAGTAACTCTGTGCATCACATACCTTTCTTAAATAAACTATGAGGTTGATATCACCAAAATTGCCAGGAGGATATCACCAAAATTCATAACAGAAAATTAGTTTTCCTTGAAAATGAAGTCCCAAAAGTGAATTTTAATTAAATCAATACAGCACTTAAATATTTTTTGGGGAAAAACATATAATGTGCCAACGTTTTCTTGCCAAAGACCCACAATCACTGCTCTATAGTGAACTCAGCAGCATCTCCAAGGTCCTGGGTGTGGTCGAGGGGTATGGTTAGTGACTCAGAAAATTGGTATCCCCAAGTCAGCATTTCCATTCCCCAAAGAACTGGGATTCCCCTGGAGCTCATTGAGAATGTGACACATAGGAACCTTGGAATGATACAGCTATTTCATCTGTATTAAGAAGGCATATTTTTTACTCCCCTCGAAGTGATAACATTAAACATAAAAGGTTTTGTTTCTCTAGAAGTTTCACCTTAACTCTGCTACTTAGTGGGATTGGTTTAGGGCCCACTAATTCCTGCTATCTCACTCTACATGACTCTCCAATGAGACAAGAAAAATATTTTATATAATAAAAGCCCAGTGACTGAATGGCAGAATGACCAGATTGATCAATCAACCATCAGGGGGCAGACACTCAACGCAGGAGCTGCCCCCTGGTGGTCAGTTCGCTCCCACAGGGGAAGCATCACTCAGCCAGAAGCCAGGCTCATGAGTAGAGAGTGCAGTGGCAGTGGCAGTGGCGGGAGCCTCTCTGGCCTCCAAGGCAGGTGGACTTCCCCCAAGGGGTCCCAGACTGTGAGAGGGTGCAGGCTGGGCTGAGGGACACACCTCCCCCCAGTGTATGAATGTCGTGCACCAGATCTCTAGTAGCTTGTTTATTCACTGGAGAATCTAATAAAAATTTGTCCCAAGTTGCTATTAAATTATAGAACTCAAAATGTGAAAACAAGTAAGATGGGCATCTTTGTTCATTTACTTTTCTTTTTTTAGCTTAAGACTTCATTATTGTACTATTTCAACTTTCTAAGTTTTTCTTCCCCATTTAGAGAAGGACATAATACATATTGCAATAAGTATTGGGTCATTTTTCCATGTTTATCCAGGTTTAGTCAATGACATTTAGGATGGCCAGTAATAGTAGGAAAAATCGTCAGAGTATAAATAGAAGCCCTACCCAATCTGTGCTTCACTTGTTCCAACACAGATTCTGTGAACGAGGTGTGGAGAGATGAAGAGGGAGAGGGGAGAAAATGTGTGTGTGTGTGTGTGTGTGTGTGTGTGTGTGTGTGTGTGTGTGTGTTTGTGTTTAAAAGTCAATGAATCAAATGAGAAGAGAGAATATCTTAGGGTGGCCAGGAACACTGCTTGATTCTGAGCAACGGGTCATCCAGCAAAAATGTTTTCAGGCTACCACACTGTTACTGATAGGTTTGCCTCTACATACCTACAGTTGATTCTTGGACATCATAGGTTTGAACTGCATGGATCCATTTACCGGTACATGTGATTTTTTTTCAACCAATACTGTAAATGTATTTTCTCTTCCTTCTGATTTTTCTTAATAACATTTTCTTTTCCCTTAGTGTACTTTATTGTAGGAATACATCTATAAGGTTTCTGGTCAGCAGTAGGCTACAAGTAGTCAAAAGTTATGTATGAATTTTCAACTGTGTGGGGTGGGGAATCAGTACTCCTACTGCTGCATTGATCTAAAGTCAACTGTACTAAGAAATTATAGTGCAAATCTCACTACATGTTTCTGACACAGGGAGCTAAGACCAGGGAGATTGGAACTAACCTGTATCATAGGATTAGTGCAAATTTAAGAATAAATCCTCCCATAACTGGAGAGATTTATGGGTGGAAAATATTGTGATGTGGCTTTAAAATTTTCATCTTATTGACATCTACTTAAACTAAATTATAAAAAGAAATGGTCAAAGAACATGTTAAATAACAGA